CAGGCAGAGCTTTGGCTCGGACTTTCCTGTGTTGCGTCTGCACTGGGACGGAGGCGGAGAGTTCTCCTCTGGCCTTCTGCGTGCCTTCTGTCGTGCGCGAGGCATCCGTCAGACCTTCACGCTTCCGGACTCACCGCAGCAAAATGGGATTGCAGAGCGCCGCATTGGCATGGTCATGGACGTCGCTCGTACGTCTATGATGCATGCGGCTGCCCCCCATTTTCTGTGGCCGTTTGCGGTCAGGTACGCGGCGCATCAGATCAACCTCCACCCCAGGGTCTCCAGGCCGGAGACCTCCCCAGCCCTGCTGTGGACGGGGAAGGTTGGCGATGCGTCGGCGTTCCGGGTCTGGGGATCTCGGGCGTTTGTTCGCGACTTGTCTGCGGACAAGCTGTCCCCTCGCGCTGCTCCCTGCGTCTTCCTGGGGTTCCCCCCCGACGCCCCTGGGTGGCAGTTCTACCACCCCACCTCTTGACGTGTTCTGTCCTCCCAGGACGTCACGTTCGACGAGTCGGTACCCTACTACCGCCTCTTCCCCTACCGCACTCCGTCCCTCCCCCCGCCCCCGCTCTTCTTGGTACCAGGTCCCCCCCGGGTAGACCGCCTCCCCCCTCAGGGTCCTGCCCCTTCAGGTGTGTCCCAGGTAGACGCGGTCGAGCCTGTCGAGGTCACTGGTGACTCAGGTGCTGCTGCGGGAGCTGAGCCTGGGGGTGCTGGGACTGGAGGTGCTACGCCTGGGGGTGCTGAGCCTGGGGGTGCTGAGCCTGGGGATATTGAGTCTGGGGGTGCTTGGCCTGGGGGTGCTGAGCCTCGGGGTGCTGGGCCTAGGGGTGCTGGGCCTGGGGGTGCTGAGCTTGGGGGTGCTGAGACTGGGGGTTCTCCGCCTGGAGGTGCTTCGTCTCGCCGAGAGCCACTCTCCCCACAGGAGCTGCGTGAGTGGTTTGCCCGGCGCTGGAGGCGTGCTGCTGGTGCTGGAGGTTCTTCGGCTGCAGAGGGTGCTGCTGCCACGCGTCTCGGAGGTGCTCATGCTGTGGGTGCTGGAGCTGCTGGGCCTGAGGGTTCTCCTGGAGCTGGTGCTGCTGAGGGTGTTGGCGCTGAGATTACTGCTGGCGGTCCGACTGGCAGTACTCCTGGTGCTGCTGGGGGTTCTGGAGCTACTCGAGGTGCTGCTGGAGGTGTTGCTGGAGCGGGTACTCCTGCTGGGGGTTCTGGTGCTGTCCCTGCTGTTTCTGGCGTCGCCACGCGGCCCCGACCGTACTTCGTTCCACTCCTGCAGCAGGTTCTTGGTCTTACACCTTCTCCTGGTCCTCCTCCTCCTCCCTTAGAGGGTCCACAGCCTGTCCAGTCACAGTCACAGCTACAGCCTGCCTCCCCTTTGCCTGCTCCTTCTCCCTACGCTGGTCCGACTGGAGGTCTTACTGAGCGTCGTGAGCCTGCGTCTCGTCCTGCGTCGCCTGCTCGTCCTGCACACACTAGTGGTCGCGGTTCGCGTCAGCGTCCTCCTCCTGTCCCTGGCACGCACCGGATGGCTCTGCGTCCGTCCACTGCTCCTCTGTGTGCCCCTTTGCCTTCTCCTCCTTCTTCCTCTCTTCCTGCTCTTGCCGAACCGGAGTCGGACTCTCTTCGTGCTGCCAGTCCTACTGTCACGCGTCTCCTTGCTACTGCTGTCACTGACCCTTCTTTCGAGTCTTCTGCTGCGTCTGCTCTTGTCACTGAGCTCGTCGACTTTGCTGCGCGCTGTCGTCTAGACTACGCTGCTTGTCTTGTCGCTGAGTCTGAGTCTGCCTGTCCTCCGTCCGTCGGGGGTGAGTGTGCCCTTGGCACGGACGTCCTTGAGGACAGCCAGGAGGAGCTCCAGTGTCTGGCCGCCGCTTCACCTCATCTCGCGTCTGTACTGCTCGCCCCTGAGGGAGACCCGGATGCACTAGACATCCCGACTCCGCGCTCTTACGCGGAGGCGATAGAGGGTCCCTACTCCTCTCAGTGGCAGGCAGCTATGGATGCAGAGATGGCTTCCTGGAATTCCAAAGGCACCTACGTTGACGTTGTTCCCCCTCCTGGGGCGAATATAGTCAGTGGCATGTGGATTTTCAGGGTGAAGCGGCCGCCGGGTTCTCCGCCTGTCTTCAAGGCGCGTTACGTGGCTCGTGGCTTCAGTCAGCGGCAGGGAGTTGACTACTTTCAGACCTTCTCCCCCACCCCGAAGATGACCACTCTTCGGGTACTGCTGCACGTTGCTGCTCACCGTGACTACGAGCTGCACTTTCTCGACTTCAGCACTGCTTTCTTGCAGGGCAGCCTGCACGAGGAGATCTGGCTGCGTCGCCCGCCTGGCTTCACTGGGTCTTTCCCTCCTGGTACCTTGTGGAGTCTCCGGCGTCCAGTCTACGGACTCCGCCAGGCGCCACGTGAGTGGCACGACACACTGAGGACTACGCTGGCGGCACTTGGGTTTGCTCCTTCTACTGCCGACCCGTCGCTGTTTCTGCGCACCGACACCTCTCTGCCGCCGTTCTACATCCTTGTGTACGTCGACGACTTGGTCTTTGCCACAGCTGACACTGCTGGACTCGCCCACGTGAAGTCCGAGCTGCAGAAGAGACACACGTGCACTGACCTGGGTGAACTGCGCAACTACCTTGGCTTGTAGATCACCCGGGACAGAGCACGCCGCACCATTACCCTGACTCAGTCACACATGGTGCAGCAGGTCCTTCAGCGCTTCGGCTTCACGTACTCCTCGCCTCAGGCCACTCCTCTGCCTACTCGTCACTCGCTCTCAGCTCTGCCTTCGGATGAGTCCGTAGAGTCGAGTGGGCCGTATGCAGAGCTTGTTGGCTGTCTCATGTACCTGATGACCTGCACACGACCTGACCTTGCATACCCTCTTAGCATTCTCGCACGCTATGTTACTCCTGGGATACACCGACCAGAGCACATGGCTGCAGCGAAGAGGGTGTTGCGCTACTTGTGCAGTACGTCGGGCATGGGGCTAGTGCTTGGAGGGCGGAGTCCAGTGGTCCTCACTGGGCACGCGGACGCTTCTTGGGCTGACGACCAGGCTACGCAGCGGTCGTCACAGGGTTACACCTTCAGCCTTGGTTCCGGCTCTGTTTCGTGGCGGGCTACCCGCTCGTCTTCTGTTCTCGGCTCCAGTTGTGAGGCTGAGATTTACGCCGAGGCTATGGCTGCTCAGGAGCTTCGCTGGCTCACCTACTTGCTGACCGACCTTGGAGAGCCGCCTCGTTCTCCTTCAGTCCTGTACGTAGACAACAAGGCCATGCTGGCCTTGTGTCGAGAGCAGCGACTGGAGCACAGGACAAAGCACATTGCTCTCCGCTACTTTCTTGCTCGTGAGCTACAGCAGCGTGGACAGTTGCGACTTGCGTACGTGGCCTCTGAGGCTTACACTGCTGATTTCTTCACCAAGGCACTTGCGCCTTGTGATCATCAGCGTTGCTGCACGCAGCTGGGTCTTGTGCCTGTCTTGCCTCACTTGCTCACTTCTTGACCTTGCTTGTACCTTGACCTATATATACTCTTGTTCTTGCTTGCTTGACTCTTGTATATCTCTATACATGATCTTGCATGTGAACTGGCCTTGTGGCCCTTGAACTTGTGCTCGGAATGTGTGGTGACTTTGTGATCCACCCTGAGCTTTGCTTTGCTTTGCTTGACTGGTCTTGTGACCCCTTGTTCTCCCCCACTTTGCCTATGGGGGTGTGTCAGAACATTATAGCTTACTTATTTGTGTAGGCTATAGTGGGGTATCCCATAGGGGGTACAACCCAACTAGGGTTTCCTATTTGTACTCACCTTATTCATAGTTCATTCATTCTCTCGTTCACTTCTAAAATAATGTCAATGGAATACGAAGGTATGATGTCTCACACATACAAAGTTATTTGCAAAATGTCCGCAGGATTCACCATCACTTACCCCATAAGAGGGATATTGTTTTTCAATCCCAACGCCATCCCCGGACAAGTTCCAAACGCCAGCATCCTCTCCCACCAGCGTTTTGCTCCAAATCTCCGAAAATTCTTGCACCCACCCTGCACACACGAGCTCCAAAACGCATGCGCCCAAAATAAAGCTCCATGCACGCACTCACAAGAACATGACATTCCAAGAAACAAACAAATCACTCTCACTGACATGGACACGGGGCATCATTGAAGGACACCAAATATGTGGTCAGATAGGAAAACACCAAGGAGGGGGGTCCATAGAGGGACGAGGAAAGTAGAGCAGTGGAGAACGGCACCCATGTGGCATCGCCCGGTAAGGGGTTGCACGGTTTTGATGAGGATCGCTCGTGGACAGCCCATGACATGTTGTAGGAGTTCAAAGAGACTAGACACCACAGCACAACACATCACACCACACCACACCACACCACACCACACCACACCACACCACACCACACCACACCATACCATACCACGCCACTGTGGTCTGCCTGGCTATTGGCTGCAAGCAGCTCACCCATTTGACATTGCCACCGAGGGGTTCACAGGGCTCGGAGGAGACTGGCTGACACGTGGGGCCGGAGGAGTTGCGCCAGTCAACTTTCATGCTGTGCAGCACTGTGACCGCCATGGAGAAGCCGTTCAGCCCCGCCAGCCCTGCTGCCGTGCTGCCGAACATGGAGAGGTCCGTTATGAGCAGGCGGTCACTGGGAGGGAATGGGGAGGGCAGCAGTGAGGAGTGATGAGGAGGTGTGTTATGAGAAGGAGGTCATTGGGAGGGAGGTGGGAAGGGCAGGGAGAAGCTCTGGGTAGGGGAGAGAAGACAGAACATGGGAGGCAACACGAGGGAGGGAGAGAGCATGATGAGGGATGGATGGGGAGGTGAGCCAGGGCCAACACAGGAGCAGCGAAGTCAAATCAATCAAGGTGATGGCCACTCCAGCTGATGCTCAAAATCGATTCCGAAGCTCAGAATCAGACTACAAGCTTGGATCAATTCAATAAAATCGACGATCAAGGTCAACTCACCAGAAGCTCAGCAGCCACATGTCCAAGACAGCTGATACCATCTGCCCCTCGTCATGTTTCTCTGCCTCTTCATTGGTGATCCTGCCATCGCAAGGCAGCATACAAGCATTGAGGGAGAAAACAAAGGTGTTGCATCAGTTGACACAAGTCAGCAGAATTTCAAAGAAATCAAGAGAAGTTAACAGAAATAGAAAAGAAGGGAGTGTGTGTACTGGTGCTGCACGTAAACTTGTTGCCAATGCCCACCAATTACTGTCCCAGGTTAATGGAAGAGCTTCCCTACACGTGGCAATGCAAGCATCATTGCCGCAGGTCCATCCCATTGTAAGACCCACTGCATACCGCCCCCAGCCAAAAGCGCCAAAGCACCTTCAAGGCAGCTTCAAGGTAGCTTCAAGGTAGCTTCAAGGTAGCTTCAAGGTAGCTTGGAGACACCATCAAGGTAGCTTCGAGGCCCTTCCAAGGCACCCCCAAGCATCGAGGCACCCCCAATGAACCCTAATGGCAGCTTCAAATCACGTCCAAAAGCCAACGAGAGTGCTGCCCTGCACGTTGCGGCTTGGGTAGTGGTGCTGCAATGCAAGTCCACTATCCACCCATCCCATTCCAGTGCTCTCCATGTACCATGCGAATCAAGAGGGCCGGAGCAAGGACCACTCACGTCCAGAAGCCAACGTGACTGCTGCCCTGCACGTGGCTGTGTAGGTAGTGGTGCTGCAGATCCACCAAGTGGTGAATGTTGAGAGACGACACAAACACCCCCATCTTCTCGTATGGTGATTCACGTGCTTCCGCCCGTGATGCGTTCTGATGGTAGGTGTCAAGCGGGGAGATGGAATCGAACGACATGTTCACAAGGCAGTCACACCTAAGTACAGACGAAAAGTGGACAGCGCGGAAAAAGGTGGGGAGCAAAGAACGAGGTGGGGAGTAGGTTGAAAGGTGGGGAGCAGAGAACGAGGTGGGGAGTAGGTTGAAAGGTGGGGGGCAGAGAACGAGGTGGGGAGTAGGTTGAAAGGTGGGGAGCAGAGAACGGGGTGGGGAGTAGGTTGAAAGGTGGGGAGCAGAAAACGGGGTGGGGAATAGGTTGAAAGGTGGGGAGCAGAGAAAGGGGTGGGGAATAGGTTGAAAGGTGGGGAGCAGAGAACGGGGTGGGGAGTAGGTTGAAAGGTGGGGAGCAGAGAACGGGGTGGGGAGTAGGTTGAAAGGTGGGGAGCAGAGAACGGGGTGGGGAGTAGGCTGAAAGGTGGGGAGAAGAGAACGGGGTGGGGAGTAGGGTAAAAGGTGGGGTGCATAGTAGAAGTTGGGAAGGTGAGTAAAATGTGGGGAGCAGAGCAAGGGGTTGGGAGCAGAGTAGAAGGGAGAGAGAAGAGTGAAAGTTGGGGAGCGGAGTAAAAGGTGGGGAGCTGAGTAGCCGGTGGATAGCAGGACAGAAGAGAAGAAAGCGCAGATATGGGAGCAGCAATGCTGAACGTTGGGAGTTGGGGAAGGAACAGCAGTGGGGAAACACTGGTGCAAGAAATGCAAGAGGGGCCTCACTGGTGCAAGAGGGGTGGTGGGCGGCAGGTAGTGAGAGATGTTGATAGCGCAGTCGAGCACACGATGGGCCACTGGCAGTTCGTTTGCATATGGCGACCGAATCTGATGAGCAACATGGCAAGTGAAGAAGAGAGTACAATGATAGACGTCACAGGCACACAAATGCCACCCTCAGAGAACTCCTCACAGGCAGAGAACTCCTCACAGCCAGAGAACTCCTCAGAGGCAGAGAACTCTTCACAGGCAGAGAACTCCTCACAGGCAGAGAACTCCTCACAGGCAGAGAACTCCTCACAGGCAGAGAACTCCTCACAGGCAGAGAACTCCTCACAGGCAGAGAACTCCTCACAGGCAGAGAACTCCTCACAGGCAGAAAACTCCTCGCAGGCAGAGAACTCCTCACAGGCAGAGAACTCCTCACAGGCAGAGAACTCTCTGGGCCTCGTTTTGAAGAGCTGGCAACTCACACGTCATTCTCGCTCACCTGAACCCCCAGGCGGTGGGGGAATTGGGCAAGGTTGACGTGGAATTTGGCTGTGATTCCGTCCCATAGTTGGTTATCTGGGTGCAGCAGGTAGCGTGCCACATGTGTGTACACGCGGCCATCTGGGAAGAGCTCGTTCAGCCGTGCCTGCGGAGAAGATAGGTGGGAGGGAGAATAGGGTAGATAGAAAGGGATGTACACACATGCGCGCCTGGTTGTGGATGCCGCAGGAGTGGATGTGTATGTGAGTGGATGTGTATGTGAGTGGATGTGTATGTGAGTGGATGTGTATGTGAGTGGATGTGTATATGAGTGGATGTGTATGTGAGTGGATGTGTATGGGAGTGGATGTGTATGTGAGTGGATGTGTATCTGAGTGGATGTGTATGTAAGTGGATGTGTATGTGAGTAGATGTGTATGTGAGTGGATGTGTATGTGAGTGGATGTGTATGTGAGTGGATGTGTATGTGAGTGGATGTGTGTTTGGGAAACTGAGCAGTACAGCAACACTTGGTATTGACCCGGCTGGCCTAGTGGAATGGTCTTGCGATACACGGCCAAATGGACGATACATGGAGGGGCGAATTGGAGGCTCACAGCGAAGGAGGGGATGTAGTAGAGAGAGGGAATGAAGTAGGCATCGGTGCTGGTGTACCAGAAGGTTGCCGCACCCATGACGTCCCACAGATGGTCGCAAAACTCTGATCGCACCCTGCAGAGTGGGGTGGGGCATGGCAGGGGGCATGGTAGGAGGATGGCAGGGGGATGGCAGGAGGATGGCAGGGGGCATGGCAGGGGGCATGGCAGGGGGCATGGCAGGGGGCATGGCAGGGGGCATGGCAGGAGGATGGCAGGGGGCATGGCAGGGGGCATGGCCGGGGGCATGGCCGGGGGCATGGCAGGGGGCATGGCAGGGGGCATGACAGGGGGCATGGCAGGGGGCATGGCAGGGGGCATGGCAGGGGGCATGGCAGGGGGCATGGCAGGGGGCATGGTAGGGGGCATGGCAGGGGGCATGGCAGGGGGCATGGCAGGGCTTGATATGACGTCCCACAGCTGGACACACAACTCCAAGCGCACGGTCGCAGGGTCGCAGAACTCTGAGCCTGATATGCACCCTGCATGCATGCACGCATGCACGAGTGGGGCATGGCAGGGATGTGATGTGGCAGCCTATATCGTTGCAGAATTCGGATCACACCCTGCACCATGCTACGTGGCATCGGCGTTGGCAGGGGGGTTGGCAAAGGGATGCCAGGGATGGAAGGAATTGACATGGTCGCTGAAGTCTGCCCCCACCATGACCCTCACGCGATGCGCACTGATGCGCACTGCACGCCATGGAGCGATGTACACTTGATGATGTTGCAAGCAAGTCCAGACAAACAGCCACCCACCTGTGGTTCACGTCCAAACAAATAGCCACCCACCTGTGGTTCATGTCCAGCAGCCACCCACCTGTGGTTCACGTCCAGACAAACAGCCACCCACCTGTGGTTCACGTCCAGACAAACAGCCACCCACCTGTGGTACAAGTCCAGGAGAACCGTGCCAACCTCTTGCACGGTGCCTCGCAGCTCCTCCAGCACTCCATGGCGCAGCGTGTTCATCTCCCTGGCCAGTGCACTCATGCGCAGCTTGGGCCGACGCAGCACTGTTGACAACAGCATCCTGAACCAACGTTTTGAGGGGGAGGAAGGGGAGGGGGAGGAAGGTGGGCTTTGGAAGGGGGAGCAAAGGATGAAAGCCAGGAAGGTGCGATGTGGGGCTGTGAATGTGTGTGCAATGGATGTCCTGTCAGAAAGACCGCCTTCAGCTATGGATGGCTGAAATCGCACAGTGGGCCACTAAGCAGCACACAAGGTTCCCTACGCATGTCCACACTGCGAACTGCTGCTCTGTGAGCCGCTGCAATGCAATGCGATGCGGTGCTATGTGATGCGGTGCTATGCGATGTCGTGCGGTGATATGCAGTGGGGTATTATGCTCCAAGGTGCTATCCAATGCGCTGCTATGTGGTGCGGTACTATGCGATGCGGTGCAGTGCATATGCTGTGATGCGGTGCGGTGCTCTGCGATGTAGTGCGGTGATATGCGGCGGGGTGTTATGCGGGGGGGTGCTATCTGATGCGCTGCTATACGATGCACTGCCATCCGGTGCGGTGCTATCCGGTGCGACCACTGATGGGTCACTGACTCACTGCTGTGTGACCAGTGTGCTGTGCGCCTTGCACTGCACTGGACGGGTGGGCTTACCGCTGTGTGAAGGGTTCAACGGTCCAGGAAGTGTTGGCGTGGGCGAAGGGGTTGCAGAAGCGGCGAGTGAGGAAGGCACGTGGTGGTGCGATGATGGCTCGATGGGTGAGAAGACCCAAGATGAACGAGACAACGTATGCTGTGATCTTGTTTCCCACGCCTGCAGAGACGACCCAACACGAATGAGACGACGTACAATGTAATCCTGTTGCCCAGACCTACGTGCGCATAAGAAGATCAAGTCAGATCAGATCAGATTACATCAGTTCAGGTCACAATGGAGATGAGGCCATGCAAGTGAGTAAAGGATGAGGAATGGAGGCGCTATTTAGCAGCGAGGTTGAGGAGTGGGGAGGTGTTATTTGACAGCGAGGTTGAGAGGAGAAGGGAGGTATTACCTGACAGCAAGGTGGAATTCGTTCATTAAAACATAGATCCCAGGCCATGCACGTACTCACTAACAGCATACCCCTATCCAGGTCACGAATTGAAATGTAGCGACACTGCATCCGGTCATGGCCGTAACGAGGAACGGTCTCATTCCTGGTGGTTCACAGAGGACGGATGTGAATTTGGGGAAGACAAGAAGGAGAAACGGGAAAAGGGTAAAGAAAGGTGGCATCATGTATGATATACTGTATCAATAGTTGCCTTTTTTAATAGGCACGATGCGGGTACTGTGAGTGTCGAGTGCTTAGGAGTTTGAAGTGAATGAAAGCATACACATGCAGACTGACAGGGATGTTGATGATGCCCTTATCACATCACATGCCTTTATCACACCACGTTCCTTCCCTCGTCACACCACGTGCCCTCAACATACCACGTGGCCTTGTCTCTGACCCATTGCTAGCTGTCCACCTCTCAAAACCCCACACAATCCCTCTGCATCGCTTCAAAACCTTCCACTGCAGCTCTGAACGCTGCTGAAGGAAGGGACGGATTGGCCTGGATGGGATTGGATCAGGGTGGATAACCTGTTCAAATTTGTTGTTGGACGGATCCGTTCGAATTGCGTTCAAGTTCTAGGTTTCTCAAGTCAGTACCCCCGCAGCAGCCGCACCAGCGGCATGCTGCAAATGTTTCTCCCACATGCCATGTGCTACACATGTCTACCTCCCACATCTCCCCCCCCTCCCCTATTACAGAAGTCCCATCCCACCCCCATAACATGTTTGCTACAGGTACAACATTTTCACACATTACACACTGTACCATGTGCTACAGATGGCCCCCCACTCCCCACTCCCCCCTCCCCCCTCTTTTTTTTTCCCTTCTTTACACTATGTGCTACAAATGCTGCCCTCCAACCCCCTCACCTACAGCCTCCCACAAATACCGTGTGCCACAGATACCCTCTCACGCCATACCGTGTGGTACAGGTGTCGCTCCTGCTGACTCCAGCACGAGTCAGCTGTGTGGCGCTGCATCTGGGGCCATGCCGCAGATGCATCGAACCTGGACAGCGGATTAGACAACTCAAACCCCCGCCCACCATCACCGCCATTGCTCGTCAAGCCCCTCCCATTGTCGCCATTCTGACTGCGACGGCCGCCAGTATAACCGATGGCGCTATAGCGAGCACCAGTGAGCAGCTGGGAGTGAAAACACAAGGGAGGGGAGGTGGGGGGAGTGGGGGAGAAGAGGTGGAAGACAAAAAGTGTTGCGAAAAGGCCAAGTTTAAGGCGTGTGGGGACTGCCACTGCTGCCGGGAATACTATTCCTAGAAGGCTTGGCGGGGAGAGTCGTGGTCAGCAGTGCTGCGTTCAACGCAAGTTGTTCCATCCAGATCCGCTATTCAATGTGCACCGGCGTGAAAGTGCACTGGCGACTGACGAATGAGAAGGAGGAAACAATCACTGTACTACCTACTGACGCCCGGGCTGGACAGCCGAATTCGAGGCGAGAACAAGCAGAGCAAGCACAGCCGCCTTAGTGGGGTGGAACCTTTTAATATGACTCGACATCAGCGATAAATTGATAGTACCCAAGAATACGCAAACGAACTACTAAACGTCATTATTGTTACGAGTAGTAATTATTGAAGCATCACTGTGCACTCCTTACCACAGCAACCGAAACACGCACTACCGAAGATGAAGACGAAAAGACATAAATGACGCGAAGGGTCGTACAGTTACGGAAGGATCTGGACCGTCGGGCAGACGACATCAGGCAGCAGCAGTGGCGAGGGTTCTGCCCGAACGGTTTCGTAACCACCTGGAGTCGCACGGATAAATTTCGCTGTAATAAGGGAATGTACCCCTTAAAGTACATGGCTAGCTAGGTTGTTTCGTGTTCCCCTATACTCTTATTTATATCATTTGTATTTGCATGTCTTAAACCATCTCAAGCATTTTACATTCAGTCTGCTATTGAGCTCAAGGGCCCACCACCACTATATCAAAACAATAGCTAGAAAGTTAAAACAGAAGAAGAGGGTTGCACTAATAAGCAGGGCAGTACATACAGCAAACCCTAATCGGGCTGTACTCACTATAGAGTACCCCGCTCCAGACTAGACAAATAACACATTCTGACACACCCCCATAGTCAAAGTGGGGTATAGTCAGCACAGCAAGGAGTCACATAATGAGTTCACAAGTACAAGCAAAGCTAGAGGCAGTCACAGAGGGCAAGTGAGGAGGAGGAGAGACTGTGAGAGGAGAGGAGATAGGAGGCGACGGGTGAAGTCGCAGACACGCGGGCAACAGGAGCCGCGCACACGGAGTGGCTACCGGAGCAAGGGCCCCGGACTACAGGAGTAACTGGCTCCACGGCTAAGACGACCGGCAGGAGCAACGAACCCACAGGCGACTGGCGCAGTAGGCTCGCTGGGCTACCGGAGCACGCCGACTCCGGACTACTGGCGCTACTGGCGACACGACGGCTACATCCACTCAACCTCCCCCACTGTCTCATACCCCTTTCACACACCCCCTACTGCACCCCTAGCTTCACTCCCACGACACCCCCCTAGCACCACTCCCTCGGCTCCCACACACCCACCCCCCTCAGCGGCAGCTGCAGCAGTGGGAGACGAAGGAGGAGGAGGAGCATGGGACGGCTCACACACCCTCCACCCCCATACCCCCAACGCAGGCGGCACGCGGCAGAAACGCAGCAGCTGAGGCGCTGCGAGGGGCGTCGGGCAGGGCGACGCGCGGGCCCCCAGGGCGCTGCGACGGGCGACGGGAGGGGGCGACGCGCAGGCACCCAGGGTGCTGCAACGGGCGACGGCCAGGGCGGCGTGCGGGCCCCCGGGGCACCGCGACGGGCGACGGGAGGGGGTGACACGCGGGCCCCCACGGCGCCACGACGGGTGACGGGCAGGGTGGCGCGCGGGCCCCCGGGGCGCCACGACGGGCGACGGGAGGAGGGGGGCGGCGCGCGGGCCCCCGCGACGCCGCGACGGGTGACGGGAGGGGACAGCGCGCGGGGCCCCGGGGCGCCACGACGGGCGACCGAAGGAGGGACGGTGCGCGGGCCCCTGGGGTGCCGTGACGGGCGACAAAACCGCCACGCGCCCCGAGCGCGTGGCGGGCAGAAAACCGCCGTGCGCCCCGAGCGCTCGGCGGGAAGAAAATACGCCGCGTGCGCCGGGCGCGCGGCGTGAAGAAAATACGCCGCGTGCGCCGGGCGCGCGGCAGGCAGAAAACGTCGCGCCCCCGGGGCGCGCGATAGGCAGGACAACAGCGGAAGCATGAGGTGGGCCCATCTACAGGATCGACCAGGGAGGGTCGATCTGCTCTGATAGCATGTCAAAACAGTAGCTAGAAAGTTATAACAGAAGAAGAGGGTTGCACTAGTAAGCAAGGCAGTACATATAGCAAACCCTAATCGGGTTGTACTCACTATAGAGTACCCCACTGCAGACTAGACAAATAACACATTCTGACACACTACTCAGTCTTGTCGAACCTTCATGAGGGGATTCTAGGGACGATCAATTTCTGATCGCAACAATTATTAACAACAGGCTTCTCTACCACAAACAATAGCATACAATATTCGCTGCTCACGTAAAAAACGTCGGGCCTATAGGGTGAAACTACAAGTGACTGCAATAAAAGCATTTATTGGCATAAACACAATATCATACCATGCCATTAACAAGCATCCATAAAAGATTTCAGGACACAACCTGGCAAACGAGTTCATGCATCGACCTGCTAGAAAGAAAAATACTATCTCCAAATAAAAGCGAGAAACACAACCGAAATTGCATGCTTTTTCTACTTTTTTGTGCCAAGCCCACGTTCGCTGATGCTACACGTCGACCACCAATATGTCTGATAGAATAGAATCACAACGAAACAGCGAACCTTGTTAAATTAACGGGAAAGTAAAATCGTATTGTCATCACATGTCGAAACGACAAAAACGAAATATCATAAGAACTTCGAATCGACGA